AATTCAATCTGGTATCGCTACATTCTCAAAAGGTGTTTTGATGTAATAAAATCGATTGGTTGATGTGGTTACCGCAAATATAAAGCCATGAGAAAATCAATATAACATTCGAAACGGCTGATTTTTGTTGGCTTTGCCAGTTTACGTGAAACGCGTTCAGCTTTTTGGTAATTTTTAAATCGTACTTTATTTATTTGATATCATTGAACATTCCCGAAGCCAGAATCCAGCGCGCATACAGACAATGTACTGCTATCATCGTTGAGTATGAGTGCGTATATCTCTCGCCCTATGTGTGTGTGTGTGTATTGGCACCCGAAGATTTCCGTTTTACGCCACACTCCGTTCGAGACATTGTACATTGTATATGGCTTTGATGGTAAGGCGATATACTTACTGCTTAACACATTGACCACCTAATGGTTATATCTTTTTCTTAATCATATATGGCCGGTGGGCGCATTAACACCTCATTCTTTTCCGTCTCTTTGATCCGTTTCAGCGCGTTACCAATTTTACAAGAGAATCACGGGCATTGTGGCCACTGTATTTTTTTTTCTCTCGCTTCATTCTTACCATTCATTCATTTGGCATGTTTTGCAGAATCTCAGGCACGTATTTATGACAAAATAAATTAATTTCTTCATTTCATTGGATTTTGAATGTGAACGCTTGTTCGCTTCTTCATACATAGTGTAGTGCGCCAATAAGTATTTCGGTTTCGGTTTGAATGAACCGATGTCTTTTGTGTGAGGTGTTTCTGCAGTACAGAGATAGAGAATAACACACACACACAAGAAAAGAAGTAAACCAAAAAGTCAAAAATGAACTTACTTAAAACATCATTTTTCTCTCGGAATAGCAGCTTCATTCCAGGTGGCGGCAATTAGTAATGAGAAAATCAAAGGCATTGACCTTTTCTTTTTCTCTTGTACCATACCTAAAACGAGACCTGATTAATTGACTTTTTATTTGTCTAAGTAACGTGTTAATTATATCACGCACCTCAAATTCGACGAACCACAAATGGCCAAACTATTGAACCTCGGGATTTTCTCGTCTAATACACGGAAATGCGTGCTACACACTAGATGGTTTCCATTACAATAGACAAATGGACCATATATGTACATATAATAATCTATCGTGTGTGTGTGTGTGCGTGTATTTGAAGAATTGACTTGTCTTTTCATCTCTCAATAAATACCGAAATATTTGTTTAAAATGTAAATCATTTGAATTTGTATTGAATTTCATAACCATTTTCATATTTATTTATTCAGTAAAATGTTGTGGACAATGACGGTCGATGTGCGTTGCGATGTGATGTGAATTGAATGTGACACATCTACATTAAGTAATTAAACGATTTTAGTCTTTTGTTCGCATTGTACGCATATTAGATAATCAAAAGACACAATAATAACAAAGGATTACCGCGAACGACGCAAAATAACATCCACGTTCAAATACAAATAAATCGTTTCGAATGGACTGCCTGATTTTCTTCGTATACGAACATAGATCTGAATATCAAATGAGTCCGTATTCATTGCATTTATCACAGATTCACAAGTCTCATTCTTCACAAGCTCTTTTCATAGAGAAATAAATAGCAATAATTGATTCTGAGAGTGCGATACGGAGAAGAAGAAGAAGAAGAACAAAATCTATTAAATCTAGAATAAATGTAAACCTACTTAGTAAATAAAAGGTGATTTGTCGCCCGGTATTTATGTGCGCGACAAAAGAAACACTGAAAAAAGCCACGAGACAAAAAAAACACACACATACACACACACATCGAGTGAGAAATAATAGGAACAGTTTGAATGGGAAAAGCAAAATGATTTTACCACTTTGTCACAACTGTTTTGTTGCTTTTAGTCGCACGGACGTTTTTAATAGTCCCATATGGAAACACGCGCTTCTTTAGTAGATGTTTTAATAAATCTGAAATAAAAAGCGGCTGCAATGTCTTCCATTGAACAAGAGAAAATATGATGAAAAATAAAAAAAATAAAGAGAAAAACAAAATAAAGAGGGAATCAAAGTCATTTGCTCGTTAAATGCAATACGATGCGGTCAATGGAACATCAGACGATGTACCAAGTAATTGGTCGATCATCACCACTTTTGCTCTTTCCATATGCTGTTTCAGCTTTGTCGTGTAACTCTGTTTTTTATTTTAAGTTTATATCCATCCTCTCGACTCAATTCACTTGCGCACCGTTCTGATGGATGATCTTCATACCACATTTATTATAATATCTAATTCCAGTGACAAGTGGATATCACGTTAACAACAGAAGCAATATTGTTGTTATTGTGATTTAAAAAAAAATATGGAAAATAATTCCAAGGTGCATTGACATTTATGACAGTGATGCTGGAATGCAATTCAAAAATACTTGGTGCGATTTTAAAAAAATTCTAGGAAACATGAATTTTAAATGAATTGAACAATTGACGACACTTTTACATGGACTCCACACCGTGATGCTTACAATGAGAAATTGATAATAAGAAATTTCATTCAATATGTTGACAAATTTCGGACGATTTTTCAATATTTGTTAAGAAAAATGGTCATGAGTGACTTAATTTGAGCATCTTAAGTTGGTATTTCCTAGGGCCTGCACATCGGATATATTATGCATGTGTGATTGTTATTGCTAGCACAATATTTTTCTTTCGTATATGCGTTTTTCTTCTTATTATTTTCTTTGCCGTTCTTTGCTAAGCGAATAAGTTTTCGTGAAGCAAAATGCACACAAACATAAAATGCGAACGGAAATTCACATTAAAACGAAACAAGAATTAAAAGTCATATTGTAAAAAGAAGAAGAAAAAAAGTCGTGAAAAAAAATATTGAAGAAGAAGAATTAACTGAACAGAGATCATTTCTACAGATTTTAGGCCTTTCCGTCAGCTGTCTAACTTAATCGGCCGATACTTTTTTTTTCGTCATTTCGTCAACATTTCACACGCTTCAGCTTGAAAATCGATCGAAAATGCATTGCATTCATTTTATTATTTTAAGACCAATGGCAATATTTACTCATGTGCTCATTCATTTGGCGTAATTAATGAAAAAAACAAGAACTGACACATCCTTCCATTAACATTTAAATTGAACCATTTTCTCTTTCTCTCTCTCACATTCTCGCTCTGTACATTATAAAATTGATTTTTTGCATTTGATATTGTGCTGTTTTTCATTTTTAAACATTGAAAATTTTGCGTTGAATTTTCGCCGATTACATCGCCACATGCGAATGCAAAAAAAAAAAACAACAACATGAAGGTCATCAAAGGAACTAATTCAAAGTTACGCTTTAGGAAAACAATAGAAAAATTAAATGCAATTAAATGATGAAATAAGCAAATGCCTTACATATTAAAATTGTTTAATATTTTAATAACACATTGCGCTATGTACAGCACCTATATCCAATACATCGTCGATATAAACGATATGTATACGAATTTATTGTGCGGTATTGTACCGTTTGCTTTGTTTCTTCGTTCGTCTTCAAATTATTGCTATTACATTTAATGTTATTAGTTATACCTACAATAAGCGAATTATTGCAATAAAAACAACAACAACCGCGCACATCAATAATAATAATAATATGAAAATCGAGTGTCGAGTGAGCAACAATGAATGAGCAAAATAACAAAAATAAAACAAAACAATCAACGGCAACAACAAAAACACATAAATTGCGACAAAGCTCCACCTCTTTTAGAGGCGTCACCTTCTATAAAAGCAACCTTATCATTTTTATCCCCGTTTATAATATCGTTTTATGATTTTATTTACTTTGTATATAAAATTGGAATGTATAAAAGCGCTTGGAACGCGTTTCAATTCTTCGTGTACAATTCGTGTAGTCGCACGCAGTCGATTCAACTACACGTGCAATGGGCAATGATGAGTTGAACATATACAAAAAGCAAACATATGTATTGTATGTATATATGTGAAACGAATGAGAGAAATAAAATTTACGCGTTTGTTCACTAGCCAAACTAAGTTGTGAACCAAATCGCAACAAACTGAAAACAATAATAATCATCATAATAATAAATGTTCGAACAAGCGCACATCGTCAATGTGAAAACATAACAACGATGACGCCGACACCGACACTGACAACATCGACACCGTCTTCGCCCGTCGATCGTCTAATTGCAAGACCATCGAGATAGTGTAGCCGTTTCGAAGCCGAAAACCGATTTCATTACAACCAAAGCAACAAACTTTCAATCAATACGTAATCGCAATTAATTTGATCCAAAGTGCTTTGGCTCGGCATTTTTCGCAATGATTTTTGCTTGTGTATTGAGTGCCATGTTTCGATGTTTGTTTCACACTCTCTGATGCTCTCCGAATGCTATTTGCATTAAAAATCAACACATCCAGGCTAGCACCAAATATGTATGTATATAAACGCATACACATACCGAGATAATCGCACTGTACTGGCATGCATACGAAATAGATTGAAACGTTCGAAATGAAAATAGTCACAGTTTTAGGTAGTATTTGATGTTCGAACAAATACAGAAAGAGATGGTTAAACTGTGCAAGTGTATGATTGGTGTTTGCATTGTACGTGCGTGGCTGATTGTTTGTGTATGCGTGCGAACTGTGATACACAGCAAGCAGCATTCGTCCGAACAAATACTTATGAACGAAGTTTGACGAACATCAAAAATTGTTTATTTCGGCTACTACCGAAAAGGGTCTGTACGAACGTGTTACAGACACTAGCACCAACAGCACACCGATCATAAAAGAGGATATGCTCACATTGAGGCGCATGTACAAGCGAATCACTTGGCTGGATGTGTGTGCGTGTTTATGTATTTGTATGTGCACGAGCCGATTGAGAAAGAGAGAGAAAGACGAAACAACAACAAAAAAACCAAGCAATCACAATTCTTTGGTTTGGAAAAGATTCTTCACGCAAACCGACACCATTCGCAGTCCGAACGTGCTGTAGCGATATCCATTCAGCGTTTTAGTGTTGTTTTAATTTGTGCGGCATTTTTTTTCTTCTCTTGATTCAATACGAATAAATATTATTTCAATAGTAAAAGTGTGCATTGAGTGAATCGATTATAAAATACTAAGAAAAAAAAGAAAGTAAAGCGATTTAATAAACTAAATGAACTGATCTAAAGAAAATTGAAAACAAAAAAAAATAGAGTATCTTATTCAGTGCAAAGTTTCCGTAACAAAACACTAATAAAGCGATTATCATTCGAAATCATAATCGACGTTTATCGAAGAAAATAAAAAAAAAATACAGAAACAACGAAGGCAGTAACGGTACAATGAACATTTCATAGGTGACATGACGAATCGCATCACAGCAATTAAACTCAAGTTATTACGGTGAATTTCAAAATATTTTACATCACTGCAAAAGACATATGTAAATGGATTTTCTAACGAGTTAGCGCTAAAGACACACATTCAATAATAATAAAAAAAAAAACACAGAGAGAGAGCCAGACTTGTATTTGTATTGAACTGAATGACTAAACGATTCTGGTGTGAACTATATGATCTTTGTATTCAAAGAAACTAAAAAGTGTCAAAACACGAACATTTGTCGTTCACAGTTTGTTATCATTATACATTTTTGAATAAAAGTTCACTTATACATACACAGAGAAGGGGAAAAAAACAAACTCAAAACAAAAGTAAAGTGCAAAATAATTATAAAATTCATTTTTCGATAAAGAAATTTCGAACGACATATGAAAGAGTGAACATAATCTTAAAAAAAGGGAGACAATTTTGTGATTGATATTGCTTAAAAAAACGAAGATATCGAGCGAGATAGAGCAATTGAGAAAGAGATATAAGATACGCGTAGATATGAAAAGTGTCCAAAAAATCGAGCGGCAACTACAATAGCTAATCATTTGCAAGGTAACTGTTATATCTCATCATTTGATGAAACACAGTCAATCAATTGCAGACAATAGCTGTGTTCATTTTCTATTTAATAGGCTACAATCATTTCATTATTGCAAGCAAAAAAAAAAGACGCAAAGAAAAAAAAAACTATTCCATGCACGTCATATTTTTTTATAAGAATCTTTTCTTTTTCATTGTCGTCCGAGCACTTATTCGATTTTAATGCGATGCAGCGATAAATGAACCGTTACTTTGATCACAAAATTGTTGCCTATTTTTTTTTGTCATAAATTTAGGTCGCTGAGTTTTGAGCGTCGATTCAAAAACGTCTAAATATCAAAATTTTTCATTCTTTCAGATCATTTCAAAACGAAACTCTCACAAAAAAAAATTTTTTTTTTGTTTAAACATAAATTGTTGAAAAATCGAATTTGAAAAAGCAATCGCATAAATCGAACAGTGATCAACATTGAAATCACAAAGAAAATAAAAAATATAAAAAAACAGGTGTGATTCAAACGAATTGAAGAAAAATCGAAACAACAAACTGACTGAAAAGTTAATATATTTGTTTTTGTTTTTGTATATACACTCTGGTGTTTGTCATTGTTTGTAATTGTTCATTGCATTTTTCGATTGAATTGCTATATCACTGATATACCTCCATCGCGGTCAAATTCTTGATACATTTTTCTAACGAGAAGTAATCAATAGTCGCCAAAATTCGCGTAAAAAATCGTGAACCAATTCCGATCTTCAGTGAAATGGACGAAAGGCGAATCGACAGAGATTCCGATTTAGGCGACGATTCACCAATGGTAAGTTTTACCCCAATTCCATCCACACAACTCTCAACTTAATGCCAAATTTATTTAAACATTCAATCATTCGAATTCAATAAAGTCGAAACGCGAATAAATGAAATTTATTAAAAAGAGAAAGAAAAACAAGTAGTCAGTAACAGGAAAGATAGAAAAAAAAAAACAAACAAGAAAATGAAATCGTCTGATCGGGATCGTAGCGCTAATTAAAGTTTCCTAGAAAATAAAAGCATTTAATTTTCATAAATTGATTGAACGTTTAGTAAGTACACTTACAGCGAATAAGTGAATTTAAATGCGCTCGACAGCATCGATATCAACATCGAATGATTGATTTATATACACAATGCCATTTATGTAGGTCTTCAAGTGATCTAGAAAACGTCATCGTCCGTGCCACAGTGCATGATGTACCTGTATTTAGACGCATGTACACCATAGCACATTGGATGAATAGCTGTCATGACACAAAACATCGCGTCATGATTCAAGAAAAACCTCAAGCATTGCTGCGAAGACTGTTGATTAACCCGTATAATGTGCGTTATACACAACGCACAATCAATTTTATTCCGTTTATTTACTATTTGAATCACATTTTTCAAGAGAAAATATAAAAATAGTCAAAGTCGATAAGTCAATTTACGGGAAAAAAAAACAAAACAAAATAAAATCTATTTCATTTTTCATCTCAAGTATGTCATTCAGTCAATTTTCTCGCTTATTTCTCATACTGGTTAACTACAAAATCAACTCATTTAACACTTTTGAGAATGCTTAATTTTCTGCTGAATCAGAGAAAAATTGAGCGTTCTTGCGACAAACGACCTACCACTAATCCGATATTTATAATGTGAATTCCATTTCAATCATGATGTGAAAACCCTTATGACATCAATTGACATATGTCCACCAGCGCATGATGATCACACCATTACACAGTCTCACATTGTATGCCAAACGAGAAAACCAACACGTTTTTATCCCGACCAATGTTTCTAATCAATTGAAAATGTTTAGAAACAATTTCCATGTTGCGATAATATCAGAGATCATCATTGACTTTCAAATTTTACTATTTTACCATTTCGCATAATATTCACCACAATCGAATTTTTGTCTATATTTTATATTTGCTTCTGTGTGCAACGTACTGTATTGTATAGCCCTTTTAACAATTTATTTCATACATCGAAACGCAAAGCCCAATCGAGTCGGTCTAAAACAAAACCGATTATCTGATGCGTATTCATTGTTCAATTATAGCTTGTGGTTTGATATGGTGTTTGTTGTTGTTGTTTTTGTTTTTGCATTTTCAATCGTACCAATCGAATGCGGGTGTTTTTAGTTGCTGGTTAACATTTCGTTATAGTTTACATACATTTTGTCACACCGTTCAATTCAAATTTAGAGAAATGAAAGAGGAAGGGAGATAGAGAAGAGTTTCTATTTTTCTATTTATCAAGCAACAAGCAATTGCGGCGTTTCAATTTCAATTTGGTTATTGATCATCGGAATAACGAACATCAAATGAAAAAAAAAAATAATAATAAAAATTTAGGGGACGAGACATATTCTAAATGGATATATCGACGATATTATTAGCATTGTCATTACACATTTGACACTTTAAATTGGGCATGACGATGTTTGAATATCATTCGATTTGTGAAACTGATATGTTCACGTTTCGATTAAGTTATTTTCATTTGAAGCATTTTGTGAGCAAAAATGCCAGCCAAAACGGTATCACACAACTGATAAACTGATCGTATTGTTATTTGACCCATTGATAAATCAATCATTTTTGATTGGCATTGTTTGGGAAAGGGCAGTTTATTTTACAGACGATGGATAATTTTATTCTCACAGTTGAATATCCAAAGATCAGAGATGTCCAAGATCACAGCCATCTCTCTCTTTTACGCAGATACCGTTCGATGGTTTTTATGATGGAAAAAAATGTGAACATATTACAATGAGAACCTTCACACGATACGGTCGCATTGAATAGATAACAACCAGATGCGTTTGAAAATAGTTTGAACGAAACATTTGATGTATTTGTTAAGCAAATGCCAATTGTATGCATGTCTAAATGTGGCAATCACAAAAAATATTTAATAATTTGAACAAATAGCATTGCACCTGAAATTGTCGATTTCATCCAAAGATGCATCGATACTTTCGATTAATTTTCCAAATTACTCATGAAATCGTCTAAACTGCGATGCATCCCGCAAACCAAACGGTATGCACATTGTTTGACCAGACAGTCAAATCTCTCGAAAGCGTTTGCTCAGTTAGCTAGTGGTCATTCGTACGCAATCGCAACACGTTATTACACGATTATTATTGAACGATAGATTTCTCGGTTGTTGTTTCCTTCTCTCTCTCTCTCTTCCTTGCGTTTACTCGAATGGTGCGCGTGAGTGAAACACCATTGGCCGCCCAAACAATTTAAATCAAGTGTGAACAAATCTCGTAGACATTTACAAACTTTGATTACATTTTACTAAAGTACACATCGTCGTCACACATGATTTCTCTTCAAAAAAAAACCATTCACATTCGCAGTTCAATCTTCTTTTCGATATTTAGCGAATTTTTTTTTTCTTCCTTCGCCGCATGCTTGTTAATCTTCTGTGTATGCAAAATGCCAGTGCAAACAGCGGCTCTTCAGTCTTATTTTACACTTATGGCAGCATCGAATAGATGCACTGTGTTTAGACATTTTCACGATAAATCGACTCTCTCATATTTAATTTCATAACAATCGGAGTAGACAATTGACTTTTATACTTTTGCGGTATCGTTTACTTCATGTTATTATGATGGACCGGTCAAACAATGAATTTTTTTGTTGTTGTAATCGTATCGAAACGTATGCTAACATCGATCTACATTAAAGAGGTGATAATTCAATTGAATTTCAGTTTCAATTTTCATGGTATTAACTTGATGTGGATTACAATGAATTGGTTAATCCGAAAAAATGGCATTCGTTGGAACATTTAATGGAAATTCAAATCGAATTTCCCACATCAATAAAGTATATCGCATATCTGTGAAACGCATTTCGATTGGAAACAAAAACAGATGCATCTAGCTCTCTCTCTCTCTTTCTTGCGTGAAGCCATTGTTCGTTGCATGTTTTTGGGCGATTCATACTGGCAAAATGCATTCGCACAATACGTTAATAGCAATAAAATTGCATTCATATGATCGAGATACCATGGCATTTCTGGCATAACCCACATGAAGACGCGCGCGTTCAAAATGAAAGATCATAATTGCTATTTATTTATAGTGTTTACTACTTTATTAAGTGTTTTGTAAGAGAAAACTTAGCAGATTGTGTGTATGTGATGTGTTTGGTTGGTTTTTGTTTTTAATTCTCTCTTTCTCGATTTCACTATTATTTGGAAAATGCTTTTGATCATATAGACGATAGCATGCATGCATTATGGATTTTCAACTGAAATTATGTATGCAAAGTGGTTTTGGATTGTGGTGTTGGCACACGATAAACTTGACGCGCACCCGCGCGTCTAATCACACACACACACAAATATATTTACACAAAAACGAAAGAGAGACCACCAAACAGCAAAATTTCAATTTTATTTGCACGAAAACAACTGCTATTATTTGCAATTGCCATAATGGCATGCATCGAGATGTCAGTCATTTTTATGTCGAAGTTCTTGGGCATGAGGGTTCTGTTTGGCCATACTGCTTATGAATATTGCTATTGTTGTTGTTTTTCGGTACCTGAAATCAATTTTACTTCATTATTATAACAATGTATCGTTGCGAAAATGTTAGTTTTTAACGCATGCTGTAAATAAATAAATGACAATGAAAAAACGTGCAATTAAGTTAACTTTTAGTTGTTTATATTGTCATTTTTGTGTGTTTGTGTGTGTCTTTGTGAGAGCGACAGTGGAAGATAGAAAGATAGAGAGTAAGATGAAGAAGAGAAAATTTTTTTTTGTTCTCTCTCTCCCAACTAAGAATGAATCTTTCTAATTCCTCTTATGGTTCATTTGGGTGTTGGAAAAGGAATTTGTTCGGTATCAGCTGAAGTAATGAAATATTTGCAGTCCTCGTTACTAACACATATAATATTATTATTCATGTGAAAAAGTGTAAAGCAGAAAAAAAAAGGTAATTTTATTGCTGCTCACAATTAGTCGAACGATTGTTACTTCGGATCAGGAATGAATTGTCTTCGAATTGTACTTTAGCATGTCCTTTTCGTATTTGTTTTCAAATATATTTATTGTTTTTTTATACTTTCTATTAGTCAAATGTTGTTGCCAAAAAAAAAAGAAGAGAAAAGACCTTTTATATTGATTACGGTTCGACGAAAAAATAAATTCCTCTCTCTCTATCTCCCAATTTCGGGGAAAAACAAATGCATAATTCGTAAATCGAATAGAAAAGGCAATATAACAAAAGCGATATTGAATATGAAGTTTATGAAGATATGGTAATCGCTAGAAATGTGCATAGAATAGATAAGATGCCTTGGGCCAGGTATAGCAATATTTAAAAATGCCGAATATATATCGAACTGAAATGTTTTTGTCGGAAATAAGAGGGCACTTTTGATTTTTGTACTTTCATTGAACATTTCATTTGCCAACATTTCAACTTCTTGGTATTTTTTTCATTAATTTTTATGGCCACAATTTTATGGGATGCATTTCGATGCAGTCAATACTCTCACTTCTACCACTAGTCAAGATTGGGAAATTTCAATTTCTTCATAGATGCCAAATAATTGTTCACATTAGTGTAAATGGTGTGGTCAATTGACTTCACATTGGTCGATTCATTACCATCTAAAAAACCATCTTCCAAAAACAAGTTGGAAAATCACACACATTTCGAAATAAAGTGAGGATGCGCTGACCTTTAACAACTTCTATTCGCTCGAAATTGATGTAAAAAAAAAGAATCACAACTAAATGGAATGTTACAAATGTAACTTCTATTTCTTTGGTAATACCTTAAATTCAAGATTGAAATGCCAGAAAATAATAGCACGTGTGCGAATAATTTTTGTTGTTGTTGTTGTATGAGCTGCTTCCAGTCATGTATGAACATTATAGCAATTTGTTTTCGCACAAAGAAGGGTCCGAAATTTGCCAAACAAAAACGTACAAAAGAACCGAAAAACAGAGAAAAAAACCCAAAAGAGAATATAAAAAAAAGACGCAAAGATTTCTATTTTGACACTGAGCACGCGTTAAAAGTCATAGTGATGAAAATTTATCGGTATAGTTCCTGCAGAGAATTCTGAAATTCTTTTACTTTCATCGTGTCGATTCTGTCCTTCATTCATACCAAGTACCTTTTCCATTCCATTCATATTTCGAATCTTCACAACGAATGTCACGATCGCAATGAAATCAGTTGTATGTGTATGAAAATGAACAGTGAAAGAAGGCAGAATACTTGCTTTCTGTTCCAATCACAGACCGATGCCGAGCGTCGATTTTTCTACAAAGATCTTAATCACAAGTTATATACGAATGAACAAAAGCAATAAAATTGATACTAGTCACAGCATACATAGTGGTTTATGTAGCCAATCGAGTGTGTCCAAACCAGTATTCAATGTAACCAATTGTAAAAGTTGACTCAATCCCAAGGGACAGCTTCAATTTAATTGATTGACTTGATTGATATAGCAAAAAAAAGCCGTATATTTTCCACTTGAATTGATCATGACAATCAATGGGTCAATATGATCGCCCTCATTATATGATTGAAGAAAAATAAAAACACCATTTTATAAATGAAATATTATTGGTTTTGTTTTTGTCCCGTTTTGTGTCATAATTTATTGTTTCTTTTTCCTGACTCAATTGCAACTTTTGCGACATGATACAAGTCTACGTAGTCGTTGTCGTCGCCGTCACACAATTCAATTCTATTCAATTTGCATGGCACATTCACCCGGTTAAATGCTTATTAAAATGGGCACTGTTGATTGGGCGGAGCATCTCCCGTCACCCGTGATTACTTCTTTCTTTCTTGCTTTTTTTTTTTTTATTTTTAATGCGTTTTGTTTCTTTTCCAAAGGTTTCGAGTTCACAATTTATTACTGTCAAAAAAGAGAGAAGTAGAAAGGGCGGCATGGAAAAAAAACCGCCATCAAAAATACGATCGTGGGCATTATCTCAAATAAATTTGGTAAATAGTGAACTCGTTCGCTTTTTTATTATAATAGTTGTTTCTTTTTTTTCCCCTTGAACAACAAAGTATGAAGATTGTGATGCTTTTTTCATCATTTAATGCTTTGGCAAAAGTGTGTTGTTGTTGTTGTGGTTAATTTTTGGACAACACACACGTTTGAATAACAAACAGTTTTCTTGTTCATTAAATGAACAACGTGTTATGTATGCCGATTGTTTGATTAGTGTTCATCAATTTAGAAAGGTGTGCTGCTATTTAAAGCACGAAATAAAAACCAAATTAGAAATACTGGACAAATAATTGAAATGGCACCGCGTATGTATTCATCCATTTGCTTCACAAAGAGAGTGAAAAGAAACAAAAATTGAACAAAACGGCTTGGGACGTGATTATCGACAAAGGAGAGGCTAAAAAAGCAGAAATTCAATTAAACATGCCGCGTCCGTTTGAATAGTTAGTTATTTGTGAACGGTGCCACTTGCCATTTGATTGGAGTTCGCTTCGTAAATATGAATTCAACATTAGCACAAATTGAATTCCAAAGAATCGCATAAGTAAGTAATCGCGATCAAATGGCGGTTTATGTGTTGTAACTTACGTATTATGTATTGAAAGGAAATTTATTTTCAATTATTGGAATTAAATTTTTTTTTTTGCGAAGCCATGATATGAAATAAAATTTATGTGTAAAAAAACACATCATGTCAATTGCATTTGCAAAGATGAATGCATATTTTAATGGCAACATCTTCAAAAAGCGTACATTCCTAGCTATTTAATTGTCATCAATTTGATTTTTATTGAGATAGACTCTAAATTGAGTACAATTTCTGCAAAAAAAAAGAGTTTTTTTCAATCACATTTTGCGCAATAAAAATAATGGCTTTGAAGTTTGATTTAAGTAAATTTTTAAAACATCGATTACATCATAAATTGATGTTAATCCTTAATTCTTATGTAGGAGTCAATCATTTAATACAAAGCGAATTTATATTTATTGTTAAATCACGAACAAAACCAATTTAGCTATGTATAACCGATAGAGATTGTTTCAACGAAAATGTAAATTGCATAGAAAATAAACGATTTCCATTGTGAATTTTCAATCGTTTGGCATTTAACGAATGTTTATGAATCATCATAAAGTCTATATGATTTTGCCTCATTGGTGTGTGGTTATTATTCGAACATATTTTACAAAAATTATTAAGATAAGCCTAATCGATTATCGATCGAAAATGTTTTTATCGAATATATTTTGTTTACCTCCTTTTTAAAATGTTTAATAATGAATCGAACTATCATGGGCGACCGAAAGGTGTTCAACCATTTGGCGAATATTTGAAGCATTTTGTTTTTTCCCTCCCAAATTCACAGTTAGTAAAATGTGTAAAATAAAATAAATGATAAATTTAGTATGAAATTCATGTGTCAGCAAATGACAAATAAATTAAAGCAAATAATGTAAGAATAATCTGTGGAGAAAACTGAAACGGAAACACTGTGCACAATGATGATGAAATGCCGCTTTGTATACCATTAATTCCATGAATTTGACAATAAAATAGGAAGTGGAAATGGCACGTTACCATAAAAGAAAAGCAACGGCATTCAATATGTTATTAGTATTCGCGAGCTATGCTGTTGTGTTGTATGGTGTTGTTTTTACGATTGTCACACAATTGGAGAAAGCCATAGCACATAGTTTTATTTTCTCTCTAATTACAGTACCTTTATCCCATGGAAAGATTAAAATGTAGCAGAAAGTTTTTCTCACGTATCACAAATACACACTTATATTCGAGTCGGCGAGAGAATATTGAACCAAAAAATAAGGTGTTACAATAATAATAATAATAAGTAAACAAATATTTGTTTATTTGGACGATGTTGCTTGCTCTTTTTTTTCACTCTGTCTCTTGTTCTCGAGCAAATTGAAAATGCTCACATAATTTCTTCAGTTTTGTTCCGTTCAAATTTTATCACAACGACCTATACGAAGTATTCCACATGAAAAGGAAAAGAAAAATTACGGCCATAATATTGTCATTCCGTTTTATATTCGCGTTATTATTTGTTACCGTCTTACGGAATAATTGTATCCCAATTATTTAATTGAGAGAACATGGATGTTGAATGGCATAAAAGTCATATGCCGTATCGTACTAATACGGAGTATAACTTGATATCTGGCATCGATTTGATGTTTTTTTGCCGCTTTGTTTTATCTTTAGTTTCATAAAAAAGGTAATAATGAAACGTATGCGTATCAATTCAATGGAATTAATTGCTATTTAAACCGTAAACACTTTGTCTTTTTGAAAATTACGTATAATTTTTTTTTTTGCTGAATTCCAAAGTTGAAATTGAACAAAAAGAGATGCATCCACTTCAAAATTTTGCAAACAAACATGAACAGCCGTGGAATCGTTTATCATTTCTATCAATTCATCATGATGAATGCCAATTTGAAATTCTAATTTATTAATAGCATTAGTGTCGTTTCTCAATAAAGAATGTGACAAAACTGAAAATCGAACTAAAAGAGGCGTGGCAAATGCGTTAAACTCATACAAAATGATAACAATGAGATGAATATATTGCTCATAATTAAACGAGCGAAAAATAAACGGTTTTGGAGAAAATTATATATTCTCGGTTTGTCCCAATAAATAAAGGCTAAGCAAGTAAATGAAAACACTATTTATCTTCTCTGTTCATCGCGATCTGTACATGTTTGATTGTTTGAAGTGTGGAATACAAATGAATATGATATTTGTTCATTTGGTTGGTTTTTTTCATCATCATCATCATTATTATTATTATTTTTGGTGTTGATCATGCCAACGCCATTCGAATCATTGCCCAATGTGTTCCATGGAAGAGTACCAGAAATATGTTATATATGGTATCGCAGAGAATCGTGAGGCATAATGAAGTATATAATGATGGCGATGGTTTCCAATGTTGAGAAGCTAATTAATGATCTTTTTCATTGACTTTAATTAAATAAATATGTCAATTCAGTTGTTCACTGAAAGAGTTTAAACAAAAACGAAATACAAAACTTAGACGATGACGTTATATATGCCTGAAAATGCACACACAATTTTTCTCTTTTGAATTTTGTTCCATTCATTTTGGTTTTTTTTTTCTTCTTCGATCGAAATTAAAGACAATGAAGAGAAATACCATTCGACAATTATTGTTGGAAAGCATTTCAATAAGACGAAATATCATACAAACATTGTTTATTTGTAGAATTATTTACATAATTCAAAAGCCAGAACAAATATGAATTTATCGAGTTTTTTGTTTATTCTTATGTGATTTCTCACTCATAGAAACCACACCGATCCCCATTAAATTCGAACCATCAACATTTTTATTCGTTTACGTTCATATTAGCCAAAAGACTTGAATAAATTGCCGAAAAAAAAATATTTTTTTTTTTTCATTTAATAAGACAATAAAACAAATATTTCCAACTTTGCAATGAATTTCGAAATACAACTCTAAGTAATTGGACAATAATGGTGTACGTACTGGGAATTTTCTAAAATTGTACATATTTGTTTTTAAACACAACAACAAAATATAATTCAATTTTTTTTTCTCGAATACATCGGAATCAATTTCAAAAGGTATGAGACATGAAGAACAAAAAACCTTATTATCACATCATTTCTCATGTTCAAATGAACAATTCTTAATAACAAACACACGTACACTTGTTAATTGAAATTTTTCCAAATAATTTATAAGCAACAACCATCGAATATAATACAAAATATTATCTGTAGTAAAAATTCGGTTATATATATAAGAAAAAAGAGATAACAAAACTGGCTACTTTTTAAAAGGATCAAAAACACTGCATTACTCACAAAAAAATAGTTGAGCTGAACGAATTGAAAAGCAAAAAAATCTTATCACAATGAAAGCGGCATATGACTATTAAATTGATAAAACTTTTCAATAATTGTTCATGTTCAATAAGACCATAAATGCAATAAAAAAGTAGTGATTTTAATCATTATGATTTTTTTTTTAGTTTAGCTTCCTTTTTGAAAAATTGAAAAGTTGCAACTATGTTTGATAAGGCACAGAAAAAAGATTAAGACATACAAAGTCAAAATCTTGCACATATACACATAACCGCATTACCGGGTATTCTTTAATACAGCCAACCAAAATAAAAACAATAAAGACAAAAACCATAAGACGATAATATCGGATCTAAACATCAAACAATTGGATACACACACATACATGCCCATTTTGGATGTGTTTGAAGTGATTTTCATTTCTGTCCACTATGTTTCCCCGAAAAATGGAATCAAAATAATGTAATGCCGATAATCCGAAGTGCACTTTCATGACATTTCTTTCGGAGCGATAATACTCACTTTTTTTTTGTCAATTCAATTTGAAATGTGTGTTCTTTTGAAGTGATTCTAATGAAAATTGAATTTTCGAAAATACCTACTTGGAGTGAGTGAGAGAGAGAGAAAAGCAGACAGATAAAAGTGATTTACGAACTTGCTGTTAATTGAAAATAAATCAATATAAGTATATATATTTATTTGGTCAAAAATAAAAACCGAAGAAATCTCACGCGGAAATTCCCGCCATTGTGTCAATTACTTTCACATTACGAAATCATAATCGAATATGGTATGTCCAATTGGTCAATTTTTGACAAGTGCCTTTTCAACGAAATCGAATTAAATCCATTAAATATAAAAAAAGATATGACAAAAACTAAAGTTTGACCGATGCAAACAAATGGCGTGAGGGAGATAAAGCATGTAACCATAGCAAAAGTGAGAAAGAGACACATTTTCTGTTTCAATAAATAAGAAAAGGTTAAAACATATAAATAAGAAAAAGTTGAAAAAAAAATAAAAATAAATATTGGTAAATTTAAGTAAATACAATCAATTCGAGTCGAAGAAAAAAAACCGCAGGCACTAAAAAGACGTGCGCACAATGCACACAGAAAGGTTCATCGAGCGCGGCCCAACACATTATTCAATGATATCTGCCATTTATATACAATATACAATTAAAAATACATTGAAACCATAACGGATGTGTACACTTATTGGTGTTGTTATTATGATTATGATTTTTCTGAGCTCATTTATTCATTTATTTACATATATGTGTCATTTTAAAATGAATAAATAAGCTAACAAAAAACTGCTCAGAAAAGAATGAATCGAACTAGAGAGGGAGAGGAAAAAAATGGAATTACCGCAAATCACAAGTGTGCTGTTCATGGGATTCGGATGCGATTCATGTCCAAAATATTCAACATATTTACATTTCTTGATGGTCACACAAATTCCCGAATCGTTCTCGAATTGAACTACAAATCATTTCACACAATAAATGAATGGATCGCGAATTTGTGACATTTATTGAAAGCTACTGTGACCCTCTTACACTCAATATTCATAATTTAATTGTTCATGATAAAGTGACAAAATTAAAACTCTGTACATTATCTCTCTGATATCTGTCATAAAATACAAAATACTTATAATAAAACGCAGATAAAAACGCTCATTTTATTAAAAATGCGTATGGTATGCTATTCTTTCAAATGTAAATCAAGTATACGATCAAAAAAAAAACATTTCAATAAATAAAATTACCAAATCTCATAGTTCGACACAAAAAAAACTATACAGCAAAGCACACGGTCCGAGTTAAATGTGTGACTATTATTTGATGTTTGTAAATAGATTTTTTCCATAAGCGGTATTGGTCACAATGCGTCAATTCCAAAAACTGCATTTTGTTTACTTATTTAATTTTTGACCTGATCATTTATTCTTTATTCAATCTATCCAACACTATTTCCATTACGATAAAAAACACTCAAATATTAATTTTTATTAAATACACATATATGTTGTGAGTGTTGATTTTTTTTTTGTTCAATCTCCTTCTTATGGATTTTGTTGGGTGTGCGCGAGCGGGTGCGTATATGCGTGCATGTGGAAAGAAAACAAAACAATAAAAGTGATGACGACGATGACCCAAAACAAGTAAAGAAATGAAGTGCAAAGCAGTATGCACGGTTAAATCATGCATAAAGACGACGTGCATTATAATGTGATGAATCAATGTGTGAAATAAAATGAATGAGGAGAAGGAAAAAAAAGTGTGTCTGGATTTATTCAAGTCTCGAGACAAAATAGTATACGAATCCCAATGTTGTACACCAAATGAGAGCCAGACCACCCCACAGATGCATTATTTGTCTTAATACATATATGTATATAAACATAGATATTGATATAAATATGTATGTATTAAATTTTTATATTTGATTTGGTAGAGAAAATCGCTTTCAGCATATTTACACATCAAATCTACCGGGAACACATTTCAGTATACACCAGACGTTCAAATTAAATCATTAAATAAGTGTACCGATGCACTAGGTGCAAAAAATGAGTTATTGGTGAATTTCGATAGAAATGCACATTGTATCCGGACTTGCATATGTCGTTAGCAAATACCACAGCCTACGCCTGTTATGTGCCACTTTGTATGCCGGCAAATGGCAAAAAAAAAGTACGCGCGCACACACACACATCGGCAATATTAACACTTGTGTAACGATGCATTTTGTTGTTTTCGGAACTTTCAATCGCAGAACTATCTTGTTACATACCATTTGTATTTGCCAGATTTTGCACTTTTTTTTTACACAACCGAACATCGTTCGCTTCTTTCATCGATAACTTGCTATCGAAACATCGACGACGTATCACGATATTTGGTGAATATACATGTATAAAAAATGACGAAAGAAACAATCTTATAAAAAAGAATTGAAAACCGTTACTTAAAAATCTATTTATGGCAAGGTGTTAATTGAATTAATTTGAGTAGTGTTTTGCTTGATTGCTGCGCATACATCTCATCAATGTGTGATTGTTTTCCTACATGTTTCTTCGATATTTTTTTTTTTTTTTTTTTTTTCAATTTTAAGAAACATTTATTGGTTTCGTATTGGATCCAAAGTCACTGTAAATTCAACATGGAATCGAATGAATTGGTTGGCCATTTTTACGCTTAATCAGCAATAATCTTGAAATGTAAAGAAAAACATAGAGTGCGGCACATTTCATATCTGTGTCTGCTCAAAGCGAACATGTGAATTGGATTTGAATTTGGGCGCAATATTTGTCATAGCAATTCAATTTTCTCACAAGATTTGATGAAGAGACTCTCAATGAAGCCTCAAATCAACCTAATAAATCTATGAATTTTAAATCGGCATGATTGTTCGTCAGTCAATAGTAGCATGTATGTGAATATAAAACCGGTAGCCATCCATCGTGCCTATATCAAATAATGCGTTGAAAGCCACTTTATTTTCACACTTCATCTCTTATGTTGTGTGTTTATTTATGAATTGGTATTCGATTGAGCATCTTTCAAACCATTCAATTTCAATAAAATAAAATGCAAGCGCGCGAGCGCGCATCGTGTATGTGTGCTGTCACTTCGATTTGAATTTCATTTTTGTCTCACGAATTCCAAGCGCGCGAGAGAAATTAAAAACAATGTACATCGCATATTTAAACATACATTTCATCATTGTTCAAACAAATAACAATTCAAAAAATTTGGCATTTTTTTTATTGCGAAATTGTAAATTACAAAATATATAGCGGAGATCATTTCATTTTGAATGTTTATTTCAATCCATTTGTTACCGAAACATATTACATTTTTGCATTTTTACTAAAATTTCCGAACTTTTTTTTGTGTGTGTTCTTCATTTTTTTTTTTTTTGTAGAGTAATTCACATGCAGATGAGCATTCAGACAGAGAAGAAGACGAGATGATGCGCGAAGAATGTGAATCAAGCGACGAAGGTGTTAATTTGAATGCACATACAAATGAAACTGAAACAGCATTAGACTTTGCAACCAGCCCAAAGCGTTCTCCATCGAATACAACAAACATAAGGTGAATACATTTTGTTCGAATTTTATTCAAATGAAACGGTTCCGTATCGAAGCATCGAATTTTTTTTATTCAATATTAATCATAATTTTATCACATATTTCTTATGTGACATTGTTTCACATCGACAGCAGTCATCATTCGGTGTTTGGGCCAAGCCACGCTCTAAGTATGTTGAGCAACTTCATGGGCGTACCAAACTTACAAAATCTGCAAAATTTGCCACATAGCGATGTATTGGAAAAATTGAAAATGCAAGTTGGTCTAATGGATCCCGAATTTGCAATGCAATCGCTGCGCAATCTAAATACACCGCCAAATTCGTCATTTACCATGCCACAAGGTACTGACGCCACGTCAACGACATCTGCAAACCAGCCACATAATTTATCCGCATTGCAAACATCACAGAAAAATTTCTCATTCACAACACCAAACGCACCAAATGCACCAAATACTAAAGATGGTAATTACAAAAATTTTTATTTCATTTTTCGACATTTTATTTAGCTAAAAATGTTGCAATCATACCGATTGAACGATTCAAATGATTGTGAATGAAATTGCGCAAAATATGCATTTTATTTGGCAATATTGTGATTAGGATATTGATTTAAACAGTTAATAGCCGTCGGCGGTAATTATTTAAATTGAGTTATCATTCGCATTTTGTTATGATTGACGAACGTGTTGTCGTCGAACAGTTTGAAAACGAAAATAGCATTAACACATTGTAAATGAATTGTTGTTGTTGTTGTTGTTGTTTTTAGCCTTGTTCAAAACAATTGATTAATTTCGATTTCATATTTTCTTATTTATTTTGTGTCATTGAATGTTGCTGGTGAATTTTTCATTAAGGCAATCTAGAATCAAACTCATCCACCTCGAGTGATGCATCCAACTCATCACAGCAGAATAACGGTTGGAGCTTTGAAGAGCAGTTCAAGCAAGTTCGACAGGTTAGTAATTTTCATTGTGTTTTTCATTTGTTCCATTTGCTATAAAAAAAAACAATCGTTTGGTATTCTCTTCTTGAAGCATGATTTGACGCTTTTTTATTCGAGACAACAACATATAGTGTATGTTATTGAAGAGATTCAACGGCATTTTATTAGTGAATTTAAAAATCATAGTAAAAAAAATAGTGGTTAAGTCAATTTTATCCAAAACATAAAATTTGAATGCATAATCGGTAGATATATTTTTTTGTAAAACATCCCAGGATAGATACAGATTAAATCAAGTGCCACACTAAAGAATCTACCTTCTGTCTAATGTGTCTAACGCTTGAAAAAACTCACACACACACACACACACACACATTCAAGAGACGAGCATGTGACTTACTGAATGAAAATGTTCGCCCTATGAATTTTACATGATAATATTTATATGTGTTGCGTTCTGTTGACGGAGTTGACTTTTCATTTCAAGGTTATCTAAAAATAGTCGAGCAAACGAATGAGACATTTCCACAATGTATTTTCTTCTTCTCATATTTCTTTCCATTCGATGATTCCATGTAGCAATGACATGATTTTTAAGGTCCAATCATGAATTTTCCTTATATTGGATTACGAAGCAATGTAAAACCGATGAAGACATGCAATCGCTCAACTATTCTATAAGTATATAATAAAATTAAATGTTGAAACGAAAGAGACGAAAAAATAATAATAATAAATGAAATCATTGAGCTAATCATTATGCACAAACAAAAATCGAATGAGTTGTGCATTTTTGTGCACAAAAACAGCATATTTCAATGTGTGATTATCGATTGTTGACTTTTAACTAGAGGTCAAACAATCATTTTAATTTCAATTCGAAATCGGTTTGATGTGATCTCTGATCGTTTCGTATTTTCTGATCGGTTCATATTCATTTAATTTGTCACACTCGGCACCATCAATGGCACATATAACATAAAGAAACCGAATCTCTCGGAATGTCTTCTTGTTATACAATGTCTCTTGTGACTTTTACCAGAGAAAACGAAAAATAAAAACATATGAAGACTCAAACATCGATTATTATGAATATTCGATGTATTCGATTTTGGCCATACCATATCGAACAATTCCATATAAAGGATGAAGGCCATGCACAACATTACATACGAAAACGATGCATCACATTGTGGAAATGTTTTTTTTTCTATGTTGGTTTCATCGAAATCGGCTTGGGTAGCAAAAACACAAGCTTATTTTAGGTATAAGAGAGCTCTCATTCATACATTCACAACGTGTGCATACGAAGAAAACAGCATATTCGAATGCAGTATTTGAAAATGAAGGAAATGAAGAGAAAAATGAAAACAGACAAAAACCGAAGAAGAGAAAAATAAAATTGGGATCGAAATTGAAATAAATAGAAGAAGAACCTTTGAAGAAAATGTGAAAAAAATATATGAAATGAAACAAAAAAATATGTATATCGTTTTATGGTCTTCGAAATTTGGAATCATACATAATATTGAGCTATGTGTAGTTTGAGAATTTTTCTCTGTCAATTTTCAATGTATTTTTGTCATATTTATTATTCACATTTCTCTTCGTTTGACCGGCATTTTTTTACATTTTCCCAAAACATTTTTTTTTTCATTCGATGAGAATCTCAACTTTTTGTTGTTAAATCGAACATTTAACACTGAAACAAAAAAAAAAAGTATTTACAATAAAAATATTTGATCCTCTGTATATTTGCTTGGGTTAATGATTCATTTTGTTTAACCCAAAATTCTTATCATGTTGTATCATTGTCCGTCTGATCATCGTTTCTGCGCTTTGGTCACAACGTCTGAAACAATTGCGATTAATTGGAGAGAGAGATATATATATATAAAAAATCAATTTGGAGAATTATTATGGATTTATCAATACGTTTCTTAGTATATGCTGACATGCTACATGTGCAATGCATTGTTTATAACTTATTTTTTTGTGTCTGTTCATTGTTTGGTAGTGCGAGAATATGTTAATTCTATGTTCAACATTATAAGGTTCGATTCAAATATATTCAAACAAACAAAAAAATATATATATATATTGTTAATGGTTAATCCCTTGTCATATCTCATGCTATCATGGCCATTTAGTCATAAATTCAATGCATACCGGTACACATTGCACATTCTGCACAATGGCATGTACACACAGCAAGAAGAAAATGAGCAAAGATGGGAAAAAAAGAACAAACAAACAAATAATTAAGACCTCATATGCATTTACCGAGAAAAAGAGAGAACTTTTCTATTGTTTCATTTTTTCGAGCATGCATAATAAAAACGAAGAAGCCGAAATATAAAAGATATTTCTTACCCGCTTGTATTTGTAGTCAACTTCTGCTTTTTTAGGTTGTCGATGTTGCTGTTATTATTGCCATTGAAATGTACAAATGAAAGCAACAATAACTATCTTCGATAAGGATAATCTAAATGCAGTTGTAGTAAATCGGTAAAATCTAAAAAAATTATATTGTTGTTGTGTTAAACTTCTAATGACTATGTACCTGAACGCAATAAATGAATGAGCATGAAAGAAGGTAAAAAGAAAGAAATTAATCTAGAAAATACATTCAAGCAGTTCGTTTGTGTAAAACACGATATAGCAAGTGTAAAATTGATATAGAAAAATGCCCAAATATGCTGCGAATATTGAAGCGAATACGTTCCTTAAAATCATTCAAACAATTAGAACATCATTTCCAATGGAAATTGGTATAACATTCCAGACGCATATGCTAATCGACATTAAGTAGAACAGAAAATTCCGCGTATCAGAATCACATTGAATGGGTTTGGTTTGCATAAAAATCATCCATGTTGTTCATAATAATAATTGCACAAAATGAATGAATGAATGAATGAACAACAGCACAAACAACAAAAATGCAATTTAATGTGCGAAGAAATGCCATGGAACTATCGAAGCGCGACTTGAGAACTTTGATTCTCATTTGTAAAATGTTCATAATTGAATTAGAAATTTGCACATATGCTCTACAAAATTAAATGTCAATGCAAGTATTGCCGTTTCCACTTTGGTTTCAACCACTTAAAGCACATTTTTTGTTTTGTTTTTATAAATTCAAAATAAATATGGCTGCCCGTATCATATCGAATGCAAACGGCAGCACATTCGAAATAAAAGGAGCCAGTCTCGAAGACGACAACGAGAAAAACGAGAAAATTTTAAAGAAAAAAACATGACGACAAAATGATTTCAGTATATATAATTCGACGAAATAGAAACATTTGATGAAATATGAATCCAGTTTGGGCTGGCATATATCGTTCGTCTTTTATCGACTTTGATTCAACTGTGTAGTGGTGGCCTTTACTTTTATGCACATACGGTTATAGTCTCAATGAATTCGAACATTAAAAACATCAAGGTTCATATGCACATATTGCCACAGATACAAACACAAAATTTTCGAGTATATTTTTCAAATTTTTTTTTTCTTCTTCGTCGAGTGAAAAGAAAATGAACAAAAAAACAAGTAGGAAGAAATATCAGCACGAAGTTCGATTCTTTTGATTTGAAAGAGATTTTCCTCTCGACTTTCATACGATCACATACAGAACATGTGTTTCATATTAAGTTTTATTTATTACAGCGAATATGTCACCCCCATGTACAGTAAATTTTTTGATTTTGGACTATCTACGCAAACAGTCAATGCAGAGATCGTATACGTGCATAGAAGAGACGGACGTAGATAAATAGATTAATGCAAGATTTTTAAAATCGAAATTATATGTTGTATTTATCTATGACCGTTTCAAAATGATGTGCACTGGGAAACGTTCACAGAGTTTGTCTCATTTTCGCTTCAAATGGTATTGGTATTGTAAATTGACTAAAATATGGTTTGCTGGAAAATGTGTGCCAGTGTGTATTGGTATGTTCATTTTAATATGCAATTAGATGCAAGCTGTCGGCATTCATTGCTCTTCTTTGGCCCGTTTACGACACAAATCCAAAGGAGATCAAATTTAAGTAAATTTACTGACGCCGATTATGGCTTTAGTTTTCATTTATTCATTTTCATTCATTTCCGTTGCTCAATCTATATAAGGATAACTCTCAATTCAATATAAATTAATTTTGTCTATGTCTCACTCTCGCTCTCTTGTCTCATTTGTATAAACACACATCGCTCGTATGCTGTGTGTGTGTGTGAGTGTGCGTGTTGACACTGCATTTTTGGATGATGTGTTTAACATTGACCTAGTCTTCATTGCAGCCATTTATCAATACAATCTTCTAAAGTTGTTCTATTTATAAAATGCATGCCATGAAAGTGAACCAGTCAAAGTAATGAAGCATTTTTTGTTTATATTAAACAACTTTTGAATTTTAGGCAAATTTAAAATAGCTCGTTTATTTATTTCGTTGATTGTTCGACCCTTTTGCTGAAATAAATTCACTTTAAATGAACTAAAAAAATGCATGTACTTTGACCAAAAGTTATAAATTCGCTCGATATTGTTCTCTGTTTATTTTTTTTTTTTATGAGGGTACACAAGAGCAATAGAACTTCTTTTTTCGGCCAATGAAATTAATGAAAAGTATTCATTTATAATATTCCTCAGTAAAATGAGATTATTTTGATTTTTCAATCACGTTTAACTAAGCCATTCAAACATGTGCTTTCTAGAAAGGAGATAAATTCGTAAAGCAAAAACAATTACAAGAATTTTGTCATGTATTGATAGACACAAAGAACTGACTTCGATTGATTTTCACATAATTTGTGAATTGAAAAGAATAAGCAATGTTGATAAGTAGTAAATGTACAAAATGCGAAGATCTTAGAAAAAAAATCCAAAACTTTAAATAAGCATTACAAAAAAAGAGAGATGTGATATAGAATCGTCTGAATAGACCCCTGTTGCTGCAAATTTGTGTTGGTTTGTTTTTTGTTTCTATTCTGATCTCTGAGTCATTCTTAT